GATTGCTCAGAATTACTGTTATTCATGCCTTTATTTCATCATGTCTAACTTATTGTAATTCATTGTTCACTTGTCTTTAAAAAAACAAACAAACCTTGAGCTCTGGGTGTTTTTCCACTTATTTTCAGACCAGTCCTTGTGCCTGAGCAGTTTCAGAGGAATGGTTTTGTTTGTTAGGGCAATTAACGCTGACATATTAATCATTCGAGCATAAAAAAAACCCACCTAACCCAAGAGAGGAACTAGTTAATTTATCTGTAGGTACTTTGTTACTTGCAGCCTGTTCCAGAAATAAAATAAAAAAAATTGTTCCCATTTCTTTTGTTAAATGTATGAAAAATGACAAGAAAAGCATCGTTTGACAAATATAAAATAGTATTTTTGTACCAGAAGGTGATTTCTAATGAGCTGTTAGCCAAGATGCTGGTATAACTTGGTATGATCTGCAGTTATTAAAAAGATTAGGAAACTGAACAACAAGTGAGTGGCAGACCTAAAGAACACAAACAACACAACAAAACAAAAAAGAACAGCCTACAACAGATTAACTGTATCTGAAAGCATTGCCCTCAGAAATGAGAAAAAATATCTGACACAGTCGGTCCAACTACTCTATCATTTTTAAGCAAGGCTGAGATTTGTCAAGTTACACAAGAACTGCACTGAATATCAGTGGCCACAGCTCTTATGGAGCGATGAATCCAAATTTGAAGTTTTTGGTTCAAATAATTCTCTCAACTTCTTACTGAACAATATTATAGTTATGTTATGGACACAATGTCTCTCATCTTTCATTTGAGGGTATCCACATTCAAATTGGATGAAGGGTTTAAGAGTTTCAGCTACTTAACATATGCCACCCTCTTTTTAAAAGAACTACAAGTAATTGGACAATTGACTCAAACGCTATGTGCTATGCAGATGTGGGCAATTCATTCATTATGTCATTATCAATTAAGCAGATAAATGGCCTTGAGCTGATTTGAGGTGTGGTGCTTGCATTTGGAATATTTTGCTGTGAACAGTAGTGTTGTGCAGATCAATATTGAAGTTTTTGGTTCAAATATCAATTCCTCCAGTTACAGTTATTAATGTTCTAGAATCGATTTTCATATTAAAATATCATTTTTTTAGTAATTTGGAGTAAATTTGTAGTTTATCACTAACAGGATATGGGTTAGGGTTAGGAAAGAAACTATATCATTCGGATCATCTAACTTGGAAGGAACTACTTCCTCTTCCGACTTACATAGTGTTACGAAATCAGTTTCACCCAGGTTCTTTTTTTATTCCTCCAGGCATCCAGAGACGGCACCAGACTCAGTAGTCATTTTCACAAAACCTTTATTCATCTTCATTTAAGCATGCATCTTCTAGAAGGGGAGATGTGCAAGGCCGGTGCAAATCTTCCTTCCTTTGTCTGTGAAACACAGTTTTGTAGAAGCAACCTTATCATAAAACCCCCCATGGTGTCCTGCAAACTCTGTGTGTCTGTGTGTGTATGCATGAGTACATGAGTGAGTGTGCATGTAGGTGTGGGTGCGTCGTACATCCTGGGGGTCATAAAAGTAATCTCCTCACCCAAGCTACACCAAATTCCTCTAGACAACATACAGGAAGAACATTATATATATATGTATGTATATATATATAATGTTCTTCCTCTACACCCCCCCCCCCAATTTTTGCACATGTCGAGGAGCGTGTCAGGCTACATTTCACTGTATGCTATCCCTGCCTGTAAGGGGCAGGGATAGCTCAGTAGGTAAAGTGGTCGCCCCATGATCGGAAGGTCGGCGGTTCGAATCCACTTAACGGCTACCCTGAGGTACCCCTGAGCAAGGTACCGTCCCTACACACTGCTCCCCGGGCGCCTGCTTAGTGGGCTGCCCACTGCTTCACAGAGTGAATGGGTCAAATGCAGAGAAAAACAAGTAATTTCCCCATGGGGATCAATAAAGTATCCATTATTATTATGTTATACTTGTATAACTATGCATGTGACAAATAAAGAACCTTGAACCTTGAACAACATACAAAACACAGTTAACATATTACAAACACTGAGACCCCCACTCTGCATCCACTGGGCCATTGGCCTCTTGTTGTCTTACATTTACAGATAAGGTGGAGAGTCTCCTGCAAACCTACTTCTAAGTTATAACAATTATGACCGTTTATTAGATTCAGGTTAAAGCATCAGCATCAGCAACCCCCAACTGTAGCTTCCTGTCTCCTTTTATGACAGCAGACCCCCAGTGTCCATAAATTCCTTTCCCTCTAAACAATTACACACACTCTCAGGCCTACAGCTAATAGTCTACAATAGTCATATGCAAAATAAGGCTGTATAAATGTCGCAGCCCTTTGGCGTGCACACTCAACAATGGCCAAGCGTAAATGGAGTCATGTATGGATGTATTTTACTTCCACAAACAGCCAAGACGTGGTTTGCGATACATGTGGCAAGACAGTGAGGTGTTGTGGCAACACCACTAACCTCATCAAACACCTCAGAGTAAATCATATCACAGACTATGACGAGCTTATGTTGAGGGGAACTGAAAATGAGGAGAGGAAGGTGCAGCTAGGGCGAGACAGACATCTTGTAAGAGTCCTTTAGTGCTGCAGGCAGGCAAGTGTTCAAATAGCACACAACTTCAGGGTTGTTGTTTTTTTATTTCTATATAATTCTGCATTATTAAGCAATAAGAACAAGTAGTCTGATGTCCTGCAATCATTATGAAGCTATAATTTGAAATACAATAAAACATTACATTTTTGTACAAAGTATCGGATCAGTATTGTCGATGCCACCCTGAATTTTACTTAGTATTGGATCGGAAAGGAAATCAGTGGTATCGCACATCACTAGTGAATAGACAACATGCAGTCAAAGCAAGCCATCCTCAAGCTGTGAAAATGGGAAAATCCCATCCAAGAAATTGCTACATTATTAGGAGTGGCAAAATTTACAGTTTGGTACATCACACACACAGCCTGCTGCTTAACACCGAGAAGACCAAGGAACTCATCGTGGACTACAGGAGGAATGCTGACCCACATCCACCCATCCACATTAAGGGGACGGCTGTGGAGCGTGTGAGCAGCTTCAAGTTCCTGGGAGTTCACATCTCTGAGGATCTCGCCTGGACGACCAACTGCTCCAAGCTGGTCAAGAAGGCTCACCAGCGCCTCTTCTTCTTGAGGACTCTGAGGAAGAACCACCTGTCCTCAGACATCCTGGTGAACTTCTATCGTTGCACCATCGAGAGCATCCTGACCAACTGTATAACAGTCTGGTAAGGGAACTGCTCTGAAGGCGTTGCAGAGGGTCGTGAAAACTGCCCATCGTGCCGCCGGAGCACCACTTCCTGCCATAAAAGACATCTACAGGAAGCGGTGTCTGAAAAGGGCTGGGAAAATCATCAAAGACCCCAGTCACCCATCACATGGACTCTTCACCCTCCTGCCCTCTGGGAGGCGCCACAGGAGCCTCCGGACTAAGACCACCAGGTACCGGAACAGCTTCTTCCCCACAGCCGTCAGACTCCTGAACTCTGCCTCCTGACATCTGACCCACGTTAACACACGGACTGAACATACACACACCCACAATGGACAACTGTACCCTCAAACACACAATAATAACATGGACTGAACCACCACTCACAACCACCAGCACTTTATATAGCCTCTGTAGGAATTATCCACACCCTCACTTATCTTAACTGCACTACTGTATAGCTCTGTGTAAATAATCATTCTGTACATACGATCATTTTTAACCCTACAACTGTTTACAACTTGCACAGTTCCCATTTCTGTATAGCTGTATATCTCAGATTTCTGTAAAGTTATTTATTTCATATTCTGTATAGTTTTTCATATTTATATCCTGTTCATATCCTGTACATAGCTTGTACTCACTACAGCCTGTACATACTTATAGTTATAGAATATTCACAACATACTTCATACCGTGTACATTATAACATACCATAATAGACCCATTTCTGTAATATACTTACATAACTATATTATTGCTAATATATATTGTAATATATCTATATCACTAAAGCACTTCTGGATGGATGCAAACTGCATTTTGTTGCCCTGTACCCGTGCATGTGCAATGACAATAAAGTTGAATTCTATTCTATTCTATTCTATTCTATCCTGAGAAAGAAACAAAGGATTGGTGAAATCAGCAATGCAAAAAAGATCTGAATGTCAAAGAAAGACAACCGGGGTGGATGATCGCAGAATCATTTCCATGGTCATGAGAAAACCCCTTTACAACAACCAGATGGCTTCGTTTTTCAGTGAGACGATGATCCCAAACACACTGCCAGAGCGATGTCTCAATACTGCTGGGTTACAGCACAGACTATAGATGTCTCTGCCACGGCTAGACGGTCCTCACCGGTCGCCTTGCCAATTTTTGTTGTGTTTGTGTGTACTTTGTGGTGTTCTCCTCTCCATCCTGTGTGCGTGTTTGTATCCGGGAACATGTACTTCCGGAAGCCATGGCACGGAACGGCAGCTGACCCGGGGGGAGCATCCTGAGCTGGAATCGCCGCACCTGTGCTTAATCACTTCGCCGGCTGCTACTAATCCAAAGCAGACCTATTTAACAGTGCGGTCGGGTCACAACCAACGCTGGAACGTTGAGCTAAACCGGGTAGCGTAGTCGCGATTAGCGTACCTAGTTTGTGAAGGAGAGAGAACGTTTAAGTTACCGTGCGTGTGTTTTTCTCATCTGCCTCAGGGTCCAGGGATCGGAGGAGGAGCGGGCACAAGAACAAGTAGTTTTGGATAATCACTGCACTGTCACCGCGGGGACAAGTCACCGTATCACTGCACTGCCCTTTTGGATTACAGACTCGAACTGTTGCCTTATTTTTTTCACTGTGAATAAATTCACTGTCACTCTGCAAGAAGTCTCGCACCTGAGTCCTTCAACCCAATTCACCATGACAGTCTCACTATTTTACAGCTCTTTTTAAAGCATAATGTTTATTTCAAACGTATTATCTGTTTCACTATGGACAAAAGTAGATGTTTTATTTGTTTCTTTGAAACTGCGCTGGTTATCCTTGATGGCATCTCTGAAGTGAGTCACATAAGTGGTGAATTGTGAGGCAGTTCAATTCCCCAACCAATCAAATACTTTAAAAATAGCCCCTATGACCACAGAATGTATCTTACAATTACACACACACAAAAAAAATTCTGCTTTATTTATTTACCCACCTCGTATTTAACTGATCTAGTCTTATTTCCATTATCTGCAGTATGTTATTATATGGAAACAAGGAAAGCTTTCCCCTCATGAAGAGGGAGGTTATTAATGAATTACAATCTGACTACTGTGGGCACTGATGCTTTGGCTGGTTCGTACTCCCATTAGAAGTATGCAATAGTATCATGTTGACTCTTGGGGTGCTGCAGTCTGGTCAGCTGGAGCGTTCCTCCATAAGCTGGGAGTTTCTTGTAAACACGAAGGTGAACATATTCGCCTCCTCCCACATGGACCTGCAAGGAAATACAAGGAAACTTAAAGGAGATGCTTAATGTGCACATAGAAGTACTCCTGATCATTTTATCACAGCTGTGGTAATGTAAGCCACAGCTGTGGGCCAAACAACATGCTAACATGTGAAAAGGAGAATCCACGTCTTCATCTATATAGAGTGCACAATGTTTCTAGTGTTCACAAACTAAGATGACGGAGGGCATTACACAGCAGTAGTTTTGTTTGCTATCAATTTTGACATTTTGACCACCCTATTAAAGATTCATATCAGTTTGTACATGCTCCAGATAGCTTTTCTTCAAATTCTTTCATTCTCACTCACTTTTGCAACTTTGTACTTTTGTGTTACTCGCAGCAATAACTCCACCTCATTGTTAGTCCATTTAAAAAACTCGGTGCTTTTCCTCAACATTTTGCTGCGAAGTTTTAAAGAGCTGGAAAGTAAATAAACTATCTTACAATGTAGAAAAGGGGCATCCACTTCTTTGGCTACATAGTGCATGATGGCACTAGTGTTCACAAACAGAACATTTTTTGAGCTCTGTTATGGCTGTGACAGTTTTAACCATAACAGTTTAAGTTTTGTATGAACCTCCATATAAATTAACACATAAACGCTTGAATTACAAACATTACCTTAATGAAGTAGTTGGTCCCAGCTACGAGCTGCGTTTTGTAGCTCTCTGCAGTGAAAACCTCGAAGTTTCTCCCGGTTTTCTGCTCTGCGAGAGGCTTCATCTGAAGAACAATAACAGCAACACCAACATGAAGCACAGGCCCCGTGTGTGTGAGTGTCAAATCTCACTTTTCTACTCACTGCATCGCAGATCTTTTGAACTGCTTCATCAGCCTGCTTCTCCTCGGTCAACCCTCCGATCATTTTTACTCCGACAACATTTTGTTGGTAAAAAACGACCAAAAAGGTTATAAACACACGCCAATTCACAAGACTCCGCATTTTGGACCAGCGCACGGAAAAAGATGCGTTTGTTTGTAGGCTAAAAAAAAAAAAAACCCCACATAAACACATTTTGGACCGTACCATCATCTTAGGGAGAAGGGGGTTGTGGGCGGGGCGGTATTTGCCAACATTATGAAAAAAAGAGAAGCACACTTACATACGGAAACAATTACTTTTGTCCATTTTTTGTCCGTTTTTTACTGCATGTGTGGGTTAGTCTGAGCTGACGCTCGAGTCTGTCGGTGTTGTACCAAAAAATGATCGTCTGCCAAAAACTGATTTCCAGTATTTAATAGAAACTGATTACTGTACTGCTATAAATAAATTGTTGCTCTATGCAAAACATATGTCAAACGTATCCCTCACGCATCAGTGTAACTTTGTGCTGAACATTGCCTTCACGAATAATATCAAGTCATCTTGAGCCACAAACAACATTTCTGTAAGAAGGTAGAATCCGCAATCAGTTTTTGGCACTGACTTTTATATATCCTTTATTTATCCAGTTAAAAATAATCTCGCATTGACATTAAAAGTGTCTTTTTAAGAGTAATCTGGCCAAGAGGACAGCAGAAACTGCAACAAATATAACAATAGTTCTCTAAACATAGTTTAAGTGGACACATACAGACCGGATTGGTTACAATGTAAATACAATAACACAGAGTTATACAGATACCTGAAAAACAGGCCATTTTTACATTTTATATATAACCCCTATGTAAACCAGGTCTCTCTTGAAAATGAGATTTTTAATCTCAATGAGATTTTTTACCTGGATAAATAAAGGACTAATAAAACCCTGTTCACCAAAGTGTATTTACAAACATACAAATTACACATTTTAAAAGCAAAACAAAACACGGAAACACTGGAAATTAGTTTTTGGCACAACAGGTAGTGAGTGGAAGTACAGGGTGTGAGGTGTGATTGCATAATTTGGAGAGGATCAAACATGAATCATGGCCTAAAAAACTGCTTTCTGCTCTTCCTTTCAGGTTATCCTACTTCTGACACCCAAACCTCAGCATTTCCAAAAACTTTATCTAATGCAATTCAGTTATACCTACTGAACTTAAGGGGATAGTAAAAAAAAAAAGATTGATCCAACATGCTAGTATCGATCCAATACAGATACCAGAGCTGGTATGGCAGGGCCAACCAGAGAGAGACACACACATGCCCACATTCACATTTATAGCCGACAAAAAAACACTGATAACCTAACATACAGGTCTTTGGGTCGTTGCACCACTGTGCCACACAAGTATCATTTACACCTATAAATGTATAGTTGTCATACTAAACTGTCAATTGGTGTGTTTATTATGAAGACTTGACTTATTTTAAACATATTTTCAGTTTGCTGGTAAAAGCCTGAGTTTATAACTGGCAAGAAATCAACAACACAATTTATTTTGTTGTTACAGAATTCAACTTTTAATGCTTCAAACCTCTCAAGTTGCAGTCCAGTCAGTGCAATATGTCTAGAAATATTATAATTAAAATGATTGATTTCCTATAATTGTTACTTTTGAAGGAGCTTTATTGCATTTTTTTTTCTTTTAGCACATGTCATGAGGCAGCAGCTTGGAGACAGAGAGCAGCAAAAAAACAAAGTGTGATCACATTGAAAAGGTTGGATGGGATCTTTGTCATGATGGTCTTCCATACCAGTAACTATAGCTTCCCCTCCATGACATGTAAGCTTCTTCCAGACTCGCAGATCAAGGTAGCTGCATCCTCCCACATGTACCTGCAGTCAAATCAGAGGAAACTTGTACTTGTTGAACGCTGAAGATCTTCAGTAAGATGTTCATCTGTTCAACAGGTCATCTGGAGCTCGCAAGTAACTCAGTCCATAAATACTTTATTTTCTTTCGTTAATAATTCCTAACATGCATAATATCACAGTTTTAATTACCTTGATGACATAGTTGACTCCTTGCAACACCTGACTCTTGTACTGAACAGCGTTAAAAACTGCATATGCTTCATTTCTTTTTTCCTCTACTTGACACTTAACCTGTGTATGGACAAAATAAATGCAAAACATGACGTAAAATGCAGAGCAATGACTTGATGTGTCTGAGTGTTATGTGAGTCTGAATGTTACTCACATAACACTCAGCTCACCTCATCACAGATTTTCTGAATTTCCTCATCAGCGGCCCTCGTCTCCATGAATCCTGCGCATACCATTTCAGCCATTCTGAAAGTCAGCTGAAATAAATAGAGGTGTCAATTTTCTGGTTTTGTGTGACTCAAACATACTGGTGCCTCTCCGAGTACATGTACTGGATAAGTGACCTGGAAACTTACTGGAAGGTGGCTCTAACACATGATAGGTGGAGCAACATGTGTAACCACAGACCCTAAATGTTTGCTTACGCTGTCTTCTCCAAATATCTACTTGTGTAATTGCGTCTTAAATTTTAAATGTCTTTAAAACAGATAAAACCTAAGCTTTTATATGAACTTTTCTTTAGATGACTAAAAAGGGCGATAACTAAGAGGTGTTTCTTGCAGTCCTGTCAGTCTGTAGTCTGATATAAATGTCTTACAAAACTCCATTATGTGGCACAGCTGTGTCTGTCAAAAAGTATCTTAAATAAACAAAATGAGCTTTGCAAATTCTTTAAGCTGACTGTTCGAGAGATAAGCTATCAAACTTGACTCAGATCAATATGCCAGGTCTGCAGGTTTTTTTTAACTGAAGGGGTGATTGCAGAGACTTGCAGTTTTGCAAAGAACTCCAAAAACAAGTAAAGAGATTGATAAAAAGAATAATGATAATTTGTCAAATCCTGTCTGCCACCAAAGAATCTTCTTCTTCTTCCTTCATGTTTAACGGCAGCTTGCATCCAAAGATGTTGCACTGCTGCCATCTCCTGGGTTTTACTACAACATTACTTCCAAATCCTTAGATCCTCATGATGAGTATTTCTCAAAAAACGAAAAATCACTCCTTTCCCTTCATCATAACATAACCACTCAACCACCTTTCAAACTTTTCTGCTCTGTAGTACCACCCATTTCTACCCTCAACACTCTGCTTTGACTGGCATACTTCCTGCAAATAATAAGTACATGTTCAACTGTTTCCACCAGTTACATAAACCAGTCGAATGTTTCCTCATTCTAAGGAGAGTGCCATTCGGAAAACAATGACCTGTTCGTATTCCCCTTATTAATATCTCCTCCTGCCTATTTATTCCTCTACTTCTCTTAACTTCTATTGCGTATTGTACCCTATATAAATCTCTCCCTTTTACTTTGCTATGACCAAGTCAGTTTCCATAAATTCTTACTTTCTTTCCAGACTATACTTTTGATATCTGCACATCGACATCTACTTTTTTAACAGCTTCTTTAGCCAACCTATCTGCTCTTTCATTACCCACAATACCTATATGTATACCTATACCTATAGTTTTATTTATACAGCGCCAAATCACAACAACAGTCGCCTCAAGGCACTTTATATTATAAGGTAGACCCTACAATAATACATTCAGACAAAAACAAATAAATAACCATTCCACCTATTCTAAAGCCAACAGTATGGCATATAACCCTACTGCATATATACTCAGAAGATTTGATGGTCTTTTTGCAATTTGATGCGGCGTAGGTCTGCTCCAAGCATACTACATTTAACTGATGTGGATAGGGCCTGTGCCACAGGGCAACTTCAAGCTGATGTTCCACAAAACCAATATGCAAAATTATTCTGAGTGAGCCTTAATACCATCTCCAGACTGAGTTCTATGTCAGAGACAAGCAGAGAAGTTGGTGTCCTAAGAAGACGGCACCACAAGCAGACCGTTACCGTACTGTCACTGTCAGCACTTAGAAACCGTAAGCAGTCTGCTACAGATTTGCAAAGTTTTGGTTGATGCCACTCTACCCAGACAATCTGCAATGATATTAGCAACACATGCACCGAACATGAACATGCTGAGAGATAATATGTTTTGCAGTGAATCCAGGTTCTGCCTATGGCAGCTGGGTCGTGGGATTAAAGACCAACAATTTCTACTTGTCACATTTCAACTCTGAGGAATGTAACTTCTGGTTGTGAAACAGAGACTCAACAGCAGTGCTCACATGTTTCAAAGAATAGTTTGGACATTTCTCAAAGAACGTTAAGACCTGAAGACGTTTTTTCTCTTTTTTAGAATGTTTGGAATCTGAGGACAGAGACGGACCTGCAGACGGTCTCAGGATCAGTGGAGGCTCTCTTTGCACTTTGCTGTTTCTTTGTCTCTTTAACTTGTGACTATTTTCTTTTGTGTAGCTTTTACCTAGCATTTGGGGGAACATCCATTTGCTTTGTCTTCGCTGTTGTTTTTTCAGACACCTTGACTCTTTGCAAATAGTTCACAACAAAAATATATGTCGTTATGAACAAGAGAACTGAATTAACTTTATTATTGAAATCACAACGAGTCTGTTGTCAATGAATACACAATAAAAATACACTCTGATATGTCCAACGTTTCAGTGAGATCCAGTACTGTGACATCCTGCTGTGATTATTTTATTGCAGTGCCGCTTCTTTTGTCATATTTGTGCTTCTTTTAACAAGAAATCTTGCTGACTGTTCATGACTTAATGTAAATGTATAAAGTGTGAATAATCAGTGTTTTTTAATGTAAAATCCATCTGCACCTAGAGCTTTGTAATTAAACACCCTCTACACTTTTTTGCCAACAGCCCTCTGATTTCTTGCAAGAAATCCAACCAATGTGGCAAACAGTGCCACAAAGCATGTGCAAACCTTCTTTTGTATTTTCTAGTAGAGGAACAGTGTGATTTTAATGTTTTCCACAAGAAAATCAATCTAAAGCGTGTCATTTCAATCTGATGCATATTTACAATATGTTTGTAGACACAGACTGCATAGACTATGGTGAAATATCTGCAACTTGAGTCATCAATGGGATCACATTGCGTGTGATTAACAAAGATGAATGTCAGTCACAAGATAAAAACAATCATAGGCTGACTAATGCCAAAGTCTGCCAACAAAATACTG